GCTGTTTTAACCTGCTCCGGCTCTAAAGTCAGCAGATGATGATACCTAACTCACTGTTGTGCCTTCCTTCAGATGTAAATAGCATTTACGCAGCACTTATGGGTCTGGACCATACACAGTTAGAAGCCACTTTTTCTCTTCTTTTCTTTCCACCTCTACACCTAGCTAGGGCCCCGTTCCTTATTGATAGCTACTGTTATCACAGCCGCCAGCAGTGATTGATCAGGAAGTAACAAGTGAGCTGGACCAGGCCCCAATGGAAGAAACCACCCAGATCTGCCTTTCTTATATCCTGAATAGTAGTGGGGGATGGGGGGCAAGGAAGGAAGACAGACTTCAGAGCCAGACAAACTCAAGCAACTTACCCTCTCTGGCCCTCAGTTCCTTGCCGGGATGAGGATTAAATGTAATTTAGTAGATTTGCTAATTGCAAGTTGACTTCCTCCCTTCCCTGTAACAGGACACACAAAACAAAGACACGGAAAACAAAAGACATAGAATAAAGGGATCAGTCAGCAGCATTTTTTTTTTTTTTTTTATCGTATAAAATGAAGTGCTTCTTAATGAGAAAAAAATGTGAAGGGACGCAGTGCAGTCAGTCTCTGGGTCTTTTGCCCTTGACATTCATTCCGGGAGAATGCCTTCTTCCAGAGTCCTTCATTTCCCCAGGGAGACCCTCTCTGACCATAACCCTACAGTATCTGGCTTTACCTTAGAGTTAGCTTTGTTAACTTGCTTGTTTTCCATCTCCCCAAGTAAGGTGGAAACTCTAAAGGCAGGGAATGTGTCCATTCTGCTCATAGCTATATCCCCAGTGCCTAGAACAGTGCTTGACCTGTCGTAGGGCTCAGTAAACACTTGCTGACGAAATTAATGAAGTAGAATGTCTAGACTGAGTAGAGTAGGAGATAACAGTCGCCCTTCTAGAGTTAATCAGAGAAGAGTTCTAGGAGATAAATTCAGAATCCTTAAAGAGGGGAGGTAAGCGAGCAGGATGGGGCTGGCTGGTAGTGGTCCCAGTTGCCTCTGCATGATGTTTGCCCATCATTCTGAGATGAGCTCAGAATGAAAGAAGGAAGAGAGACACTTCCCCCAAGTCAAACTCAAAGGAAGCAATTTGTGCTCACAGTAAATGCGAACCAGTGTAAAACTGCTGTCAGCCAATGAAGCTGCCTGTGTTCTGTCCCCACGTTTCACTCTAGTTAAGTGATCTTTTCTCAACTTCAGTCTGCCAGACTTCTTATGAGATTTAATTAGTCTGTCTAAAGTCAGAATCCCATGAGCCACAGTCAGACTCAGGGTGGGCTTCTGGCACAGTTTCATGGTTAGAGAACTGTGGGGAAGTGGTTATTGAGGGGCCACTGAGTGAGCACCTGCTGTATATCACATAGGCCTTCAGCCTTTGGCTGGGCCTGGAGACGCAGGTGGAGCAGCAGCAGGGTCTTCTCCTGCCTCTCCCATGACGGGGAGGAGGGAAGGAAGATGCACGGGGTGCAAGAGGGTTGGGAAGAAGGTGAGCGCATGACACAGGAGGTGGGAGAACAGAGCAGGTGGGAGAAGACACCCACAGTCACCAACATTGAGGACAGTGGCAGCCTCGTAGCCCTTAACCATCTCAGCACAATCCCAGCTGTGGAGCCACATGTCCAGTACGATAAAATGCAAGCCACTATGTCATTGACATTCTCTAGTAGCTGCATTTTTAAAAAAAAGAACAGGCGAAATTAATTTTAATAAATATCCAAAGAATTATTGTTTTAACATAATCAATATTAAAAAGATTCATGCGATACTTTTTTATATCCTTTTTTTTTTATTCTCAGTCTTTGAAACCCAGTATGTATTTGACACTTAAAGCTCCCCTCCGTTCGGACTAGGCACATTTCAAGGGCTCAAGACCACATATGGCTGGTGGCTACTATACCAGACAACATAGGTCTGGAGGCTAGCTTCTAGAATCCTCAGGCTTTTGGAACAGTTCTGGATCCCAAAAGTACCTAGATCCTCAAAGTCCTCAAAGGATTTTTTATAGCTTCTCTCCTTGAGCACCTAGAAGCGAAGGAGAGCACCAGGAGCTGAAACACTGACCATGACAGCCAATGTGCTGGCTGCAGCTCCCTGGTAGGGTCTGTGAAAGGCTATCCTTTTGACCCCAGCATGGAGAAATGTGGGAAGAGCGAAGGAGGGGGCAGAGAAAGTAAGAGAAGAAAAATATAGAAAATGGGGGGAAAGGAAGTGGGTGGCAGGGATGGCAGACTGCATGACAGAGCTAAGAACAGAATCCACAGACTGAGGGAGGACGCACAGACAGCTGCCAGCTCCTCCTCGCTATGGCTGAACAGAAATGGTGCAGTACGTGGAAGGCACAATTAGCTCATTCTTTCATTGCCCTTTTGATTACACTGCTGTTGTCAGGACTGCCATTTTTGTAATTAAGACCTTGTCCCTTACTCAGAGGTATTGAAACATAGAAGTATTTGCTGAATCTGGTTTCCCAGGGTTAAAAGCCGGGCTTAGGAAACGCAAACACACTTGTGGAAATGCAAACACACATTCACTAACTAATTGTCCTTTAATTAAGGCCAAAGCCCTGCTTAAAACAATTAGCTCTGGGAATTGAACAGTAGGTACAACTCCACTTTTTGCTAATCGTTCTTCCCCTGATAGCTGGGTTGTGGCCAGTCTGAGGGGAAGAGGGGACAGCAGGGAATGAATGAGTCTGTTGCTTTGGGTCTGGACTGGACTGAGCTTTGCTTGGTTTGGAAATGTTAGTCAGAGGAGAGTTTGAGGTATGGGGAAGAGCAAAGAGGATGTGGTTTGGGCAAGGGGAGTCAAGAGGCTGCCCCAGGCTTGGACCAGGGCCATGGGAAGTCTCCGAAGCTACTGCTGGCCACACTGAGGTGGCTTGCCTGGCTGGAGCTGAGGGCGTGGGCCAAGGATGAGCTGACTGGAAAGCAATTAGATGAGGTGGGGCTGGCTGGGAAAATACCTGGGATCCCAGGGCCAGAGTTGAGACTTGCTTGGATGATGCCACAGGCAGGAGGCCTCGTGGGCTCCGGGGAGTGGAGGCGCCCACTGGCGAGGGTGGCTGCCACCCACTGGTGAGCGTGGCTGCCACTGGCCCACCGGGCTTCCTTTTTTGTCTCTCGATGATGAAGAGAAGTGGATTCTAGAGCGTGGGGAGTCAGGGGGCATGTGGCCCTCTGGGAAAGAGGCCGTAATCTGCTTACCATTCCCTCTCTCCAGAAGTCTCCTTCACCTCAGTTCGCCTGTCCCCTCTCTTCACCCCTCCTCAGACTCCCAAGACTTTCCTAAGACCTGCCTGTGCCACCAGATAACCTCCCCCTTTCCTGGGTAGGTGGCATGTGTACTTGGGGTGTTACCCTCCCAGAGACTTTCACATTCCGAAAGGAGAAGTTGGATGAGAAAAATGTGTTCCCCAAAAGAAAAGGGATGCTGGGGGAGGAGAGATGACTGACCCTTGCGATGGACCCTCTCCCCAGAAACTACCCACGTGCATTAAAACTTGCAGAGTCCCTGGAGACTGTGCTCTGGGGAGCTTCCCGGTTAAGAACCACTACTCTAGAAGTAGAATTGGGGGCTTTCATCCAGGGAAATGGTCGGGGGGGCCTTCCAGACTACCCTCAGAGAGAGTGGATAAAGGATTTCATGGCTGACCCAGCCAGACCAGGACTCCCACAGATCCCAGAAGCCCCTGACAGCTCCCTTTTGCCTCCAGAAGGAATCATAATGCTCCTTCCTCCCCTGCCCTCCACGCCCCTCCCCTGCCCTCCATGCCCCTCCCCTGCCCTCCACACCCCTCCCTTGCCCTCCCCTCCTCTCCTCTCCTCTCCCCTTCACACTCTTCATCGGAGATCAGCAAACTTCTGTATAGGACCAGATAGTAAATATTTTCACTTTGCAGGCCAAGAGGCAAAATCAAGTTTAACCACATCCCTGTGATTGTACTGCACTGAGCAGCAGTGCGAAGCGATGAGAACGGTTTCTGTAGAAACTGCTCGACTCGCCTTCGTAATGGGAAGGCATAGACGATATGTAAATGAGCAAGAGTTCCAACAAAACCTTATTTATGGACACTAAAATTTGTCATTTTTATGTGTCGCAGAATATTACTCTTCTTTTGATTTATTTTCCCCCTGCTATTTAAAAATGTAAAAGCTATTCTTGGCTTATTGGCTTGTAAACAGCAGTCTGCGGACCAGAGTTGGCCAGTGGGCTGTATGTACTTTACTGGCCCCTGTTCTAATTCTCAACGAGGAAATCACCCTCCAGGCAATGTTGATGCACATTAAATTCGAGAATCACTGTCATAGAGGGGAACCCGCTATTTCCCAGGTGATGCTGACGCTGCTGGTAGGAGCGCCATACACCGAGTAGCACTGAGTCTCACCTTCACCCCCATTTCACAGATGGTAAAACTGAGGCCCAGAGGTGCCCAGTACCTCTATCATATGAACCCAGGGAGAGGCTTCTTCATCCCAGGATACAGAGCAGTGTGGCTTTCTATCTCCAGCCGCCTTCAGAGAACTACCCTGCCAGCTCACACCGCCCGAGGCTCTAGCTGAGACACAGGAAATGTACATGTGTCCCCTGGAGTCCCAAAGTGGCAGGGCTCCAGTGAGTCATCTCCCAGGAGTGGAGATGTGTGCACTGAGGCATCCCCAGGCTGTCGGCCAGCCCCCGCCCGACCACCCTGCCCTGCCCCTTAGAGAAACTCCCTGCTTGGCTTCGGGGATCCGCAGAGCAGTCCAAAAGGAAAGCTAAAAGCCCCCTCGTGAGAAGGAAAAGGGGAAGAATGAGGGCTTGGCTGTCAGACTTCCATGATTTCTAATCTCATTGGTACTAGTTGAAATGCGAGACAAGTGACTTAACCTCTTCGAGCCTCAGCTTTTCCATTAGTAAAATAGAGAAACCTCTGCAGGGTTGCCATAAGGATTACTGATCACATCTGTCAAGTGTCCAGAACATAGTACAGAACTTTTATATCTTTATTGGCCACCCTGGCATTCTGCCTTAACCACAGAGCTACCCAGCCCCAGCCTGGACAGCCACAGAAAAAGCCTCCGTGATCCTCCCGGTGACACACGGAACTGTAGCTGTGTCGATGTCCTTATGGAGGCAGTCGCTGTCCCGTGCTCTTGTGACATCCCCATTGGTGATTTAGTTTGGAGTGTGTCAGGCCATGTCACTTGGGTGTCCTCCAAGGTCTGGGAACCCACTGGAGTTGTACACCAACGTCTGTGAATCTGTGGAGATGTGCATTTTTCTGAGCGAGATGCCAGAGTTTTCATAAAACCCTCAAAGGGTTTCAAGTTCCAAAAAAGTTAAAGGGCACACATCTATAAACACAATGCATAAGGAAGCACCAAACTTTTAGGACAGATTCCTGGATTTGGGAATCGGCTCCCTGAGCTGATATATTTGGCACATTGTGCATCATCTAATTCGGATCTGACTTTCCATTTCCTCAGCCCTAAAAACTATAATTAGCATACCTGTCCCACCAATCCAGAATCGGATGACATCCTGGGAAGGAAAACCTGGAGTAGGGCAGCCAAGAATGGGGATAGGGGGCTCTCAAAACTGCCACCAGGTAAGCAGGGAGCCTGGCAGGGACCACCCTGCAGGATACATGCCTTTGCTTTCGGTTTAAATATGGGGGGAGGGGCAAAACAGGTGACCCTAAGCTATGGTGATGAGTAGGATCATGGTGACCCTAGGGGAGGGTCAGTGAAAAGGGGCACAAGAGGACTGGGGGGTGCAGCCCAGGTTCTAGCTCTTGGTCAGGGCATAGCAGCCCCTTTGTGAAAATTCGTCTAGCGGTATACTAAGGGTTTGTGCACATTTTTGCATGTGCGATAATCCAACAAAACGTTTTCTCAAAAAATGTTCAACTGAGAAAAGTAGAAGTACAAGGTAAAATCATCCCGTTTGGGATCTTTCTATGTAATTTTGCAGTGAAATTAGCACACAGCTTGAAGAAAGAGTAATTTATATATAAACACAAATAATAGAGTAAGATTTTAAAATAATCTGAAGGCCAGATTTAAGTATCTTTCTTCTTAACCCAAACTGCTATCTAAGTCTGCTTACATAACATTGGCTTTCTTTAATTATCTCCTAGGGCCCACAGGCTGTCTCGGGCCTCTTCACAGCCATGGTAGACCTGCCTCGGTCTGGCCTATTTTGGGTAGCCCGTCCCCCAGGGCGGTCCTCTGCTCCACACGCTGCTGACTGTAGGGCGCTGCATGCCCCATCCCTCTCTCTTTCTCTAGGCTTCCCTCAGATGGGCTTCTCATCTCTCTCCTGTAACACCTGCTTCTCTCCCTCGAGTGGCTTCTACTCATCAGCCCACCAAACCCATCGGAAGGAGGAACACCTTCTCTTGACCCCACATTCCCCTCCAGGAGCCACCCCATTTCTCTCTTGCCTTTAGAGCCAATGTTTATTTATTTTTTTAATTTATTTTTTAATTAAGTTTATTGGAGGTAACATTGGGTGATAACATATAAGTTTCAGGCGTACAGCTTTATAATACAATGTCTGTATACTCTAGTGTGTGCTCACCACCCAGTCTAGTCTCCTTCCATCACCACATATTTGACCTCCTTTACCTTCTTCATTCCCCCCACCCACCCCTCTTACCCTCTGGTAACCCCAACACTGTTTTCTGTGTCTATGAGTTTGTTTTTTTGTTTTCTTTGTTCCTTTGTTGCTTTCTGTTTTATATCCCATATATGAGTGTAATCATATGGTTCTTGTCCTCTTCCATCTGACTTATTTCATTTAGCATGATGCTCTTAAGATTCATCCATGTCGTTGCAAATGGTGATACTTCATCTTTTTTTATGACTGAGTAGTATGCCATTGTCTATATGTACCACATCTTTAGTCAGTCATCCATAGAAGGACACTCAGGTTATTTCTATGTCTTGGCTATTGTGAACAATGTAGAGACAGCGTTTGTAAAAGAATTGTCTCCCACATGCTCTCTCTCTGAGGACACTGAGACACAGAGAGATGCAACATGATAGTAGATGACTGAGTTGGAATTAGAATTCAGACAGTTCCTCTTTACAGCCTCAGTTCCCATCACTGATCTGCTTGTGCAATGTCTGTCTTCTCTACTAGACTAGTGGATCTATGAGGACAGGACCCATGCTTCCTTGTTGAATGAATGAATGAAAATTGTTATCATTTCTTCAGACTCCCTGGAGGAGGGTACAGACCTGCCATTCTCCAAGCCTGTATGTCTCAGGGAGGCTGCATCCCAGGAGACAGAAAGGACCTTCTGAGTGACTCTGCTCTGGCCAGCATATACTTTCCTTCCAACTCAATCCACAGGTCTCTTGAGAAGGCCAGCTGGGCACAAAGTCCTGTGTGAGGAAAAACTAGTCTAGGTAGACCTAGAACTCAGTAGAACCAAATAGTTGCCTTAGGGCTGTGAGTAGAGAGCCCCTGGCCACGGAGGTTAGGGGAGGAAGTCAAAGAAGGCTTCTCAGAGGAGGAGGGTCTTGCGGTCGGTCTTGAGTGATCCAGTAAATGGATCCAGGGTGGAAGAAGACAGGCCCAGCAGAGACAATGAGGAGCAAAAGCTGAAGGACAAGACATATTCATAGGCCTGAGAACAGATGAGTTTGGCTGGACCCAAGGTCTGTGTAGGACCCCAGAGGGGAGTGGGCCAGCGAGCGCCTGAGTGCCAGGCTAAGCCCATTCTCCCCTTGCATCCTGGTGATCCAAATGAATGGGTACTACAGAATATTGCCTCGCGAGCTCACTTATCCAAAAAGATCACCTCTATAGAAAAAGAGTTGCCCCATTATGAAAATTTATATTCTGCTAAGTAAGGGTAAGGCTCTAAAGCCAAACAAACTTCCAGGTGCCAATTAAACACTCTTATCTCTGCCTTAGACTTGGCAGAGAGTATTTACCAAATCCTTCTGCCTCCCCAGGCAGCCCCAGGCCCTTTTCTCAGCCCAGGCCTGTCTGCCCCTCTATTGGATGGCTGCTACTCCCAGTACAAATGCTCATTATGCCTTTAGCACAGCTCTATTATCCTCTGCTTAATTGTCCCAAGCCCAGCTGTCCCTGCCCAGTTGGTCCTTGGTTACTGCTTTCCACCCAAACTCACCACAGAACCAGCCAAGCTCCCTCACCCAAGGGACAGACGTCCAGCCCAGCTCCTGCGGTGTGGCCTCACACTCCACCCCCCATCCCGAAGGCTGGCACTTCTGTGTGGTAACTGGGTTATGCAGGCATTTATTCTTCTTAAATACAGCTTGCCAAGATTATCATGCTGAAGAGGACATGGTTTAAGCAAAAGCTTCTTTGGAGTTCCACGCTCGGTGGCAGAGTAAGGGGCCAGGGCACCTCTTCTCCAGCTCCTGACAGCCCCTTGCTGGTGACTCGTGCCCTCCCCCACTCACCCTGTAAAGTTTGAGAGTGGAGGGAAGGACACCTGGTTAACTTGGCATATCATGAGGAACCTTCTAAGAAGCTTCTTCCCAGGCTCAAGGAAAGGCAGGCTGGCAGAGCCCTGCAGATAACCACGTGCCCTGGGCAGTGAGCAGCAGGGGGCCCATGGGCCCTGCCTGCAGGGAGGCCCCTCCTCGGAAGCTGGTGGGTCGCCCTCTGTGGCACTGCCCTCCAGAAGGTTCCCTCTGTGACGGCAGGGAAACCTGTGGTCCGTCCACAGCGATCTCCCCACCACCTTTCTCTCTGGTTGAACTTCTGTGCCTGGCTTTATGAAAGGAAATATCTTGCACCCCCAGGGGGCGTCTCGTCTTCCCTGAGCTGCCCACCATATTCTGATGTACTTAGCCACAGGAGAAGGCAGGGAGGCAGTGGGGGGAGGGGGTGGCCTTGTCCAGGGACTTGGGTGGCTGGACAGCAGCCCGGCCACCCGGGAAAGCTTACCCAAAGGAGGAAAGGACTGTTTCGCAAGCGAGGCTGGGTGCTCTGAGCTGGCCTGTCGGCCCCTGGCATGCGGCGAGGCCTATTAGGAAATCAAGGAGCCGCTCTGTCTGCTTTCCAGCAGGCGCCACTTCTCTCCTTCCTCGGCTTTGCTCAATTCACAGCTCTGGCTCCAGGGCCAGGCTGGCGGGTGGGCGGGCAGGCCGGCGTCCTCTGCCACGGGCCCGGGGCCCGCCAAGCGCCTGCTCTTGCCTTAGCTAGTGTTGTCTCAGGGGCCCCTGGGCCGGCCTGCAGAATCACGCCGACAGGACCAGGCGGCTGCTGGTGGCCATCTCGGGTGGGAAGGCGGGGTGACCCTCGGGGAAGGATTCCAGACTGTTTCCTTCTGGGTTGAGTGCCACCGCCCTTATCTCCTTTCCTGCCAGGCGGGGACTCCTCACTAGTCACACAGAAATGAAAGCCCCACCCAAGACGCACAGCCCCCCACATACTTGAAGCGGGAGGGCCTCCCTCCAACTCCATTCATTCCACCCGGGTATCAGTCAGGGGAGCAGGAAGCGTGCATTGGGCCGTATTATATATTTGGTCCAGAAGAGGACAGGTTGAGAAAAAGAGCGTCCAAAACATGGAGCCACTTTGGTGGCTGTTCTGAAAGTTCTTTGACCTGTCAATCAATTGAGATCTCAACTGAGATCTTCCTTGGAGAGAAAACAGCTGTGTGTGGGGGTGGGGGGCAATCATTAGGTTCAGGGATGACTGGGATACAGATGGGGGCCATGGGGGGACTGAGTGGAACAAGGAGTTAGAGACGTGAATAAGAAGAAGCACGCATGGCACAGCCCCTCACCTGAGTGTCTTGCAGGCCTGGGTATTATTATGTGAACGTGGGAATAATCTTTGGAATATGGGAATATAGAAAACTGAGGCCCTGAGATATCAACTGATGGCTCAGTTTCTGAGACTCGTTGCTTTGAGAACTGAAAGCAGAACCCCAGCCTTACAACTCCTAATTCTGAACCAGGTTTAATGTTCTACCTCCGAAGAGTAGTCTCCCCCAGACACGTAGGCTTGCTGTTGAACTGCACTTTCTGGAGGCAGGGGACTGGCTTAGTTGACCCCTCAAGGTCTCGCTCAAGTCCAACAGTGGCTAGTTCTACAGGCGAGTTGCTATGGGAACTATAACTTTGAATTTCCTGGCTCTGGGGCTGTGAAAATCACAACCTGAACCTTCCGTTGATGTGGGTTTCTAGATTAATTTCCTGTTTGATTGTTTACTTTAGAGAGCGGAAAATGCCTTTGCAGGCAGCTAGTTCCCTTCACCAAGAGGCTTATCACACCCTCCCCCCACAGCCAAGCAAGGTCAAGTCCAGGACTCAGGTGGGTGGAGGTGGGGAAGCCAGGGGATGGGGCCAGGGGCCAGGGCTGGGGGGAGGCACACCTAAGAGCAGATGGCAGGCTGGGGCCCCCTCTCCTGCCCTGCTCTCTCCTTGTGCTAGCCAGGTCCCCGCCCAGTAACCTGAGTTCAGAAACTGCCTGGTGAGGGGCATCTGCCCACTGTCTGAGCCCCATGTCTGGCCCCCAGCCAGCCTAAACCCCTCCCCTGTCCCAGGGAGCTGTTTTGTGCTGAGTCAGACACAAAATGCAGTCATTCCTTCAGAGGGGCATCCAGAGGGTACTGTGAGGGGGAGTGATGGTCCCAGGAGCCACCGGATACCCAGTGCCTCCGGGCTGGGCCCTGCTGGCTGAGCTCCCCGGGGGAGGCTTGGAAAATAACTGCTCTTCCGTCTGCCTCTCCTCTGACTGCACTCGGCAGGGCCCCGCCGCTCCAGCAGAGAGCAGTGGACAGTGTGCCCAGTACCATAACTCCATCCTGTTCCCGGCTCCGGTCCCCAGGGAGCAGTTAGCCCTGGCAAGCTCTGGCAAAGCCCTGTGGCAGGTGTCACAATCTCCTGCCGTGATGACCGGCTTGCTGGGAGCAGGGCTGCTTGGTCACCTTCAGAGTCCTTCTCCTACCCCACCTGCTAAAACCCTCAGACACAGGCAGGAACACTAACCCACTTTGTAACTGGGGACCCTGATGCACAGGGAGGGGAAGTACAACAGGCTGGAGGTCTACTGACTGGCAAGATGGTAATCCGGGGGGCTCCCGACCCCTCACCGCCCCTTCCCTTCTCTGGGTGACGAGATGATGTACCAAATCAGGGCACTTTCAAGAACAAAAGGGATGCTGTTACTGTTTACTTTGGGTTGATGGGTAAAAACCGGAGCCATCCCCGGCAAACCAGGGTGTGTGATCACCCCATCCTTTCCTGTCCTCACCGCATTAGCGCTATTTGTGTGAGACTTCCTCGTGGGGCAGTGGTTATGTCATTTGACTACGGAGGCAGATGAGACCTGGGTTCAAATCCTGGTTTTCCATTATTTGTGTTCTTGGGGAGGTCATTTCCCTCTCTGGGCCTCAGTTTCTGCAGCTATAAAATAAAGATATTACAGCGTTATTTAACTCAGATCAACGGGTGGAAGAATAAAATGGATCTTAAAATGTACACATCGCTCAGAGCTTCACATCTAGAGCGAATACTCAAAAAATGTAAGCCAGGTGCTGACTGAGGCCCCGGAAAGTGTTGGTCAGCCCTCAGGAGACCCCTTCTTGAAAGGTAAAACCTCAGGGCTGCCTCAGGCATGTTCTGTTTGCCCTTTAGGAGAGATCCGTGGACATCAGGGCGGCAAACACAGAATGAGCCATAGAGAGGACGGGCAGGCTTCTAGAAGGGAAGGGAAGGGCAGTAAAGAAGAAGCTGGGAGGTGTTGACAGTGGTCACGGCCAATGTCCCTGGGGTTTCAAATCTTGACTCAGGGTCCTGGGAACTCATGGCCACAAGAACTCTATGAACAGAACTCACCTCCTGTCCTGGCCTGTGGCCAGGGCTTGGCCCCCAAGAGGAGCCACTGGAGCCATGGCCCCGTCCTCTGGCTCCAGTATCTGCAGGATTCGGTGTCTTCTCTGAGCCCCAGATTACGTTTCCACCCCCTGGGGCCAGCTGTGGGCTGAAGCATTCCCCCATGTGACATTTACTGTGGCCACTTTGTACAGGGCGGTTTGCAAGCTCGGCAGGAAGGAGGCTAATTATTGCCTCCAGGGCGCCTGGTCGCAGTTAGGGTGCCGGCCCGCCTGCCCGCCTTACTCAGGAGGGCTGGCAGCCAGGCCACAGGGCACAAGCTTGGACTGAAGTCCAGGTCAGAACCATGAATTTCCTTGACATCTGACCATAGCCACTGAACTAGGGCTCCTTATTAGGCTAGTAGAAAAGTGGCATTTGAGACAAATTCCTGTCCCCTGGGATGTCTGAATTGCAGTTAGGCACAGAGTGATAATAATAAGTAATGAACGTGTAACAACATTGATTTCATAGTTGCCCTGACAGGCTAAGCAGCCTGAGCATTCGCATGTGTACCTGCGTCACAGCCATGCCAGCCCCTCCTGTCCACTCCAGAGGAGTGATATTTCTTCTCTTATTTAAGGTCGATCTATGCACTTGACCCTGTCCTCTCGTCTCTTCTGATTATGTCCCGCCTCTCCTGCGTTCCACCTACTCATCTCTTCCTCTCGCCTTTCAACCTGCTCAAGTCTCTCCTACTTTTAGCAACCGTTCTCCTCGACCCTTTGCCAGTCTCTTTCTCCTAGCATCTTACCCTTCCTCTTCTCGGGTGGCAGGTTCCAAAAAGAAAGAAAGAAAAAAGAAAAGAGAGAGAGAGGAGAAAAGGAGAGACAGACAGAGAAGAAATAACAGAAACTCCCCAAAATGAAAGAAGTTATGTACCCTTTTGGGCTCCACTTCCTCTCCAACCCCGCATTACCCAGGCTTCCACCTGCCCCTCTCCCTGCACTGAAGTCATCATGACAAAGGTCACCCATGCTCACCTAATCACCAGATCGGGGGAGCCCTGGTCATTGTTCATCTTACTTGACGTCTCTGAGAATTTGACATTGTTGTCCTCGTACTTAGAACTTCCTTGGCTTCTGTGACATCACTTCTTCCTGTTCCTCTTAGCTCTCTGACTGTCCTCCTCCTCCTCCTTGGGGTTCCTCCCGCTTTATCGCCTTTTAAATGTTTCTCTTTCCAGGTTTGGAGCCCTTACCCTCTGCTCTTCTCATGTCTTCTATGCCTTCTCCCAGGACATCTCACTCACACTGTGACCTTGACTAACTCTGGGCACCGCTGACCACAGATAGTCAGTTTCCCACTAAGTCATCTTCCCCGATATCCCTAAGGACCATAGACTCAACGTTTTCAACATTGACTTCATTCACATTCCCCCAAACCAACTCCTCCTACCTTCGAGTATTGTTGGTGGCACCAAGCCCCAAACCTGGGGGTTCTCCATCTTCAAGATTGTCCTTTTCTTCACCCACACTTCTGCCTCCTACAGACGTCTCCTCCCATCGTGCCTCCCTCCATTCAAGCCATCACAATTTCTCACAGCAGCTTCTCACTGGTCTCCTTGTCTCCAGTCTATTCTCCAAACTGTACAAGGAAGGAGCTTTCTAAAATGCAAATTACCTTCCTACTCTGCAGTTTAAAATCTCAGTGGCTCTCTAGTCCCTTAGGATGAAATCCAAATTCAGTAGCATGGCATCTAGAGCCCTTTAGAATGTAGTCCTTGCCTTCTTTGCCGTTATGTTCTCTCTCTCCCCCAGCACCATATATTTTAGCATCTTGAAATACTTGTTATTCACCAGTGCACTCTGCTAGTTCACATTTTTAGCTTTTGTGCATCTGCCATATGCTGCTGCTTATGCCATATGCCCGGCGTGTTCTCCACCACCACCGTTCCATCCTGTGTTCCAACTCCGTATACCTAGCACAGTCGCTCGATTCCCTCCTGCTAGGCTATACGTTGCAAGTCGTCTTATTCTTGTTTTCCCTGTATTTACACAGTATTTAGAACACAATAAATGTGGCATAAATATTGTTAAAAGGATGGACGGATAGATGGATGGATAGATGGATGGATGGATGGATGGATGGATGGATGGATGGATGGATGGATGGATGGATGGATGGTTGGATGGATGGACGGACAGACAAGTAAGTGAACGGGTAGATGGATGGATAGGTGGATGAAAGGACGGATGGGTGGATGAAAGGTTGGACACATGATGTGTGGGTGGATAGAAAGATGGATGGATAAATGGATGCCTTGGTGGAAGGAAGGTTGCACAGGTGGATAAAATGGTGGATTAATAACTTGGTAGGTGAGTAAGTGGGTGTACGGATGGGTAGGTGGATAAACAAGTGGACAGATCGATAGATGGTGGCCATTGCAGACACAGAATAGGTCAAATGAATTCAATTTTGTTAAGGTCCAAGTTGATTGTTGTCATCAGGCAACAAAAGTAAGAATTATAAGCTCCAACAAGCAAAATAAGAATTAGCTAATGTGGGAGAAATTAAAATAATTCACCAAGAAAGGATGCTGACCCTGGACTTCTGTGCACCTGCTAGTTCTTCTCAGACTTGCTGTCTGTCTGGCTTGTTCAAGCCACTTAACTACT